CGAAGATCAAATTCCATGCTGAACTCACACCTAGCAATCAGCTGAAATCGTACAACTATCATGGTAAGATTTGAAACGGCATGCATTTGATGCCTATATTCATTTAGTTTCGTAATTGCATTCATTATCTCAATGTTGCATCTCTGCCTGATATGACTCTTATGTTAAATTTTTGATCTATCGCTTCTTAACGGTTCAGTTCTTCTTCTTGTAGCATCAGAAACGTTGCCGATCGCACCGCCATTGCGACGTTATGAATCGCGATCTAGTAGCGATGAAGCTCCACCAATTCCAGCAGTTCGTCAGAGCTTCAGAGATGAAACGTCGCGTCCAACGTCACGAGTGTCTGCATTTGATTCATATGATGGAACATTAGAACGTACTGGAAGCAGTGTTGGACGTAAGTTCAAAGAGAGATAATCTTACTAGTAGATTTTAGAACGATTTTTGACAAATTTTGCATATTGTTTTCTGAAAAAATGTCTTTTAGGGGTGTAAGTGATGTAGGTATCGTAGAGATGAAATCAGCTTCCATATTTCATTTTTCACGCTAGTTTCGATCAGGGAATTGCGTAATGACTTTCACTGTTTTTCTACATTTTCGAGTTTCCAAACTTTCCTTTCTTTGAGTACGTTATGCTCAGTTTGCTTATTCTTGTGTTTTGTGGCATGCCTGCTTATACTTTTCAGTCAAGCTTTGCCTTTTTCCTGCTATAGTTTGATGTTGTGTTGCTATTCTTCGCTATCCGCACGGCTTCCTCTTTCCAGAATACGCCAACTATAATTCCCTACCACGTGATGAATCCTCCTCCCATGTAGAGATTTCCCTTCGTCTGTGCTCTACGCTTCCTCTGGAGAACGCAGTGGTCAGCTTGTGCGCCTCGACTCCTCCAACTCCTTGTCGAACTCTGGATCACACTTGCCAGCCCTTTACGGTTCAAGAAAAGTTTCCTTGGTGCGAAGGTCGAGCACTCGTCAATCGATCTATGCGGAGAGGCGAGGATGAGGTGGAGGATGACGCTAGTAAGGCTGATCAGGGCTTGTGAACAGAACAACTTGGCATCGAGCACTTTGTCCGGATGGAACTAATTACACACAGTGGTGAATCTGTCACCTGTAAATGAGCACGGAGCAGATTACTGAGGAATAAATTTCGCTTTCTTGGAACGTCACGCAAGTATTGCTGGCTCCTTTCCACTTGCACAAGCTCTTGTGCGGCGAATAGTGCTGTTTCACCTAAACAGACGACGGCATGCTACCAAAATTGTCCCGTGCCACGTTGTTCTTGCACGATATGTCTCATCACCTCGTGCACTTTAAAGTTCCGAGCTTGTATTTCGATATTTTGTGCTTGCACTGTGCCAGTCATGTGGTCCTTCCATACCCACCAGCAAACGGCCAATTTCGCACGGAGTGCTCACTCATCATCACAGGGCTCGGGCAGAGTTCAGCGATTTCATCGCCTTGCGATTCTCCTTCAGACAAGACAACAGTTTCGAGTTCATTGCATGCTGGTCATTTTGCATTTCGGTTGTGATGATCAGGCAGGATTAGTCGTGTCGAAAAACTATCACAACCGAAATGCAAGATGAATGGCATGAAATGGACTCGCAACTGTTGTCTGCTGGGAGAATAGCGAGGCGACGAAATCGCGTGAACTCTGCCCGAGGGGCGGCTTGGAAATAAGCCCAGAGGATGCCTTCGCAGAACCGACGCAGGATTCAGCGAGACGTCCTCGCTGGACTGAAAAGCCGCATGAGCAGGTTACACTGTTAGTGAAATAGCGAGGACGGCAAGATTGTGGAATAAGTGAAACCTTACGGTACGCCTTTCGAATGTGCAACAGTAGCTATATTTGCACCAGCACTAGGGCTGCCCATTGGAACTGAGCAGGATAGGATCAGTGTGGTATAACCCATGACCTTACTCAGACTTGTGATTCCGTCCATACCACAGAGCACAAAACTTCTTTCAGTCAGCTGTTCTCACAAAAAGATGTTTGATGTGATTTTTGAACGGCCTATGATATCGATGCTATTTAGGAACGTCAACGACGATGTCTATGACATCGCGACCATCTCCAACCCCAATGTCTATGCGTCCGCCATCATCCACAAATGGATATATGGTCAGTAACAAATTTGTATGTTTTTTTTTTCATAATTCATTCGCACTTTTCTGCAATAAATTCTTGAAGCACAAATTTTTTCTTTTGCGCTGCAGTTAAAATTATTATTCATAATTGATCTTAATGTGGTCTTTTACCCATGCCAAGTTATACTGCTTTCCCCATGAATGTAACCTTATACTAATTCTAGGAAACCCTGGTATATCAAGAACATGCCACATCAGCGTACAGACGTGAAACTACCCCATCAAGCCGTGATCGTGATAAGGAAACTGTCGAGTTCATCTCGTGGGTAGAGGATAACCAGTATGGTCGACAAACGCCCAGTACGCAACCTGTAACACCCTCATCACAAAACGATACCGATTCGCTGAAGAGCGAAAGTGAGTGAGCTTCCTATGCGAAGTCTCAGTTGCTGTCATTTTGCTTATTCTAATTCGTTCTTCTTCAGAGAAGCGCTTCTCCTTGTTTGGTAAACGTGGATCGAAGTCTCAGAAGTGAGACCATTCAGTGCTGAACGAAAAATTTTCCTACCATCGAAAGTAATAGAGGTCACCTTAATTCTGAGTTACTGTCACATTACCACTTAATGAATGTCTCATTATGCCCAGACGCCTTTAATGTACGACTTTCGATTTGTTCATTCGATATATTGTTTTGTTGTCCCAGTTGAACCATTCCATATGCTGCCTTAACTCTCTATCTCTCACCTGAAATTTTTTCTCTTTTGTACACAACGTTTTCATTAGTTTCAGTCGTTATATTGCGTGTTTCTCTAGAGTTTTGTTTTCCCTTAAAGCGATCAGATTTATATGTGTAGCTCAAAAAAGCGTGTCTTGAGTGTGTACTGCTCCATGCATATCACATTTCTTTTCTCCAGTTCTATCTTTCATTTGAGTGTAGGTGAAGCTTGCTGTAACAGAGGCACAAAGCATAACGTCTAGCCCGATGATGTTATCGCTGATCAATGTGCGACTGTCTGCGAAGAAGTTTTTAATAATCGGAATAAATTATATTTTTATTTGAAGGCAGTTTTTTATATCTTGCGGATGTTAAAAGTTCACCATATATTGGAGTAGTATTCTGCTAAGACGTGTTTAAAATCGATACCTATTGTTAGTTATGGTAAGAGATACTGCAGAAGTAAAAATCTGGCGATGTCATGGCAAAAGGACAGCATAGGCTGCTGTATGACAAAGGCGCAATATCTTTGGGCGCGAACGCGGCTTTATTGGCCGCAGAGCGCATGATGCGCCGAATTTACAATGGTGAAGATTCGCGCGCATCGCGTTCCCGCCCGCTCAACTAATACTGCTTCTGCGTCTTCGTCATGCAGTAGCCTTTATGTGTCGAACCTAATGAAGGCGGTGTGTTTGCGGCCGTTGTGCTTTCTGTTGCTGTAGTACGTAATAAAACTTTTAGACTTTCTCCCTTCAACCGCTTTTCTGCCATTAGATGTTCTAATCACTTGAAGGGATTTTGAAAAGTAGGAGGGTGGGGGAGTGATCTCGTATTTCAAATATTCAGAGCCTTGTGGCGAACTGTAAACTTTCCAATCTCTTTGAACTTCGCAATTTGGGGAAGTCCCACAGTGGTGGAGATACATACTGCGGCTCAGGCTTCAGGTAGAAAATAAGTAGATCTAGCAAACTCTATGATTGAGTTCGTTGGCGCAAAAGTGGAAACTGTTGAAGAGGATATGTCGAGGTGATTCTTTACTGTGAGGGCATCAGGTGTACCCTGTTTGTTGTCCAAAGTTTTTTTGCGTGGTTCTTTCTGGAGCTTCTTTCGATTTTTTGATTGAACAAAAACGTCATTTTCTCAACTAACCATTGCGTTTAAACGACGTTCCCATAGTTGACAGTTGTGAGAACAAGCGTGGTGAGGAGTAAGAAATATTTCCTCAATCGAAAGCATCATCTGCAAGCATAATGATTTGTCTCAATCATGAAGTCGTTCTTTTTTCTAAAAGAGCCCACCTTTATCTTCTGATTTTTGGTAGTTAAATGAAAGAGCATTTTCTTGGCAAAATTTGTCTTTCTGCAGATTTTTAGATCAGCTTATGAACTGGAGCATGATAGCGCTTATAGAATGACACAACACAAAAATTCTAGGGTAGATCGCCACAAAAGAGACCCTAGGGCAACATGTCAAAATGGAGTACCACTATTTTGGTCATAGAGTACGTGTACTTGTAAATTCTATTTCGACATTTCGTAAGCTCAGAAATTTTGGAATGGAACTTGTATGTGTTGTGGAGACGCTAAGAGCTCCGACAATCCCCTGGGCGCAACTATTCTAGTCTAGCTCTTCTTACCGTACCTTTTGCTAAACTAAAATTTTCCTTTGTATGGAAAGCCGTTTGAGGATATCGACGACGAATGAGCCCTTTACCTTGAGCTCCCCTCTACTCGCTCGCTCAGGGTTCCTGACGGATTCGTCCGCCTCGGATTAAGTTGGTCAGCCAAGCCCTGATAATTGTGACACGATGATGGCGCGTTCGGGCATGGGAACAGGAGCTCGGTGAAGACATCCTCATCGTTTGAAGAAGGAGAACGGCCTGCACTTCCGACAAAGGAGATCCTGCTCCTCTTCCTGAACGGATCAGGCACTTTCGACTTTTATCTCGTTAACCTACTTTCTTCGCAACAGTGTGTATCATTTCATAGAGAAATACAAAAGATCCTGCTGGTGGCTTATGCGGGATTTTGTATTAATAGCTGTCGTTCTGTACCAATGCTAATTCTTACTCGCGACAATAACTTGAGTGGAACTTAATGCACGTGTTGACTAGGAGCTATTCTATGGTGCCGATTTACAAGACTATGGCGTGAGGTCGTTAAGTGCAGTATCATGTTCCAGGTCATGAGCTAACTGTATAAATCCGCAGAAGGGCTACCCGCTAACATAATCTATTGTAGCGGTTCATCCACGCCTTAGTTCGTATGCACTGGTGGTATGCCAGGCTTATTAAGGGCATCATGAAAGATGTTTCTTTTGCTCGAAACATGCGCTGGTTTTTGCACAAACACAAGAATTTGTGCATTTTTTATTATCGTGGCTATATATAAGTGTTCTTAGTAATCGAATTCCTTATGTATGTATCACACACAGCCTTATATGCAAATTGATTTCGACCACAAATTGTCATGGCAAATCCATACATTGCAGCAGCGCGAGAGCACTTCGCGGCAAATTGGTTCAAGTTCATAGAGAGAACTTATATATAGAGAGAGAGTTCATAAAGAGCATTGTATGCGTCAATGGGCACTGTTCAGTCTTTTGATCCCGAGCTCCTTTTGAAAATCTCTAGACATTTATTCTGCAGGGGATAAGCACAGCTTTGTATGGAATCTTACATTGGAAAAAGAAAGCGATGAGATATAGAAAACCCAAAGAACTTTTCACAAAGGTTGTCTTTTGTTGTGCTTTCCTCAAACCAAGGTATCCTTCCACTTGACTTAACTATAAAACCAGAGTGCCCAAATCAGGTCTTGGAACGCCTAACCAACTTCTACGGAAGGTTTTTGGCTGATATTCTTATGGCTTTTGAAGTACTGCGAGCCGAACTAGGTTTAGGACCCATTATATACTGGGTTTTTCGACCTTTCAGTGAACGCAGGGCTTCTTTCAACCTGTCTGTTCTTAGGTTTGGAAGGCACAACATCTCAAAATACAGCAATTCTTTTATCGAGCAGTCTTCATGGTAAAAGACCACCTTCTTTCCTGATTTTGAATTCAGCGACTTAACTGAAGGCAGCACTAAAGAGACACATATTCTGCATCGTGAGGAATAGATGAAGTTGCGTAGTTTTACTCGCTATTGCAGTAAATTAATTTGTACTCTCTTTGCATAATCTGCCGCGCACCTTCTCCTTGGGCTTTTATATCTCGCCGCTGCAAGCTGTATGACGCATGATCATGAGAATCTTGAGTGTTTCTTCGTTTGCCCAGCATTTGGTTAGTTGAGGTTGGATGACTTACCTTTTATGTGATCCTGCAATTCTGCTATAATATGAGGCCATCCTCTTACCTTCCCTTATATAAATTGCAGGCTGTTTTATAACTTCTCTGGTAAGTCACAAAATTTTAAGCTCAAAAATCCCAGTTTTTGCTTTTTAGGATCGCATCTAAATTTGCGAGAATCGCATCTAAATTTTTTCGAGCTTACTGCTCCTCAAGAGCTGAAACTTCCTCTGTGGATAGTCTGGGTCAGGGCCCGGCACGAGTCCGTTTCTAGGGTTTTCAAAAATGAAGTCCCCCCTGAATTTTGAGAAAATTACGAAGTCCCCTTTGACCCTTGACGGAAACCTATCGATTAACCGTTGTTGTGCTTACATGAACCCTAAGGATTGGACGAATTGAAAAAGAAAAACAAGCCTTAAGCACTCGAGATCTTTATTATTTGAAAAAAATTCATATAACGCAAGTAAGAACTTTGATGTCGGGAAAATCATCGTCAACACCACGATGTTCTACTGCGGCAAGCAGTAGAGCATCGTGGTGTTGACGATGATTCACCATTTTGCATCATTTTGAATTACCCAAAACATTCTATCAATTCAAGTCAAAAGTGAAACTTGAAACCTAGTCACTGGAACATGATGTGAATAAATGATTTGAACGGGCACAGTCAACATGGACTAGTCACGTATTCCATTATGTAAGCTCAGCCTCACGGGTAGACTCGTAGGTAGCGATCGCATACGTACCTGAAAATAACCCATCAGTTTGGAAAGCTCATTCGACGTTTCCCGAAAGCTTATCATATGTCACAGACACTACTAGCAAAATTTGATTTATTCTAAAGTTGTGGTGTACACGAATGAGGAGGGTTGTGATTTTCTCTTGTGACTATCAACTTCAAAACTTTGAAAAACAATGCTTCAAACCATAGGACAGAGTAAAGGCGCCACTACCGGGCGGTTCGCACGCGGCAGCTTTGAATAGCATTGGGGCACGCATGGGATAGATATGACACTGTCATTTACCGTTTTCATCGGCTCAAATGTGCAAACAAATATTTTCGCGCCTATTGTAGGATGACGAACGCTGCTATGCGCAAAGCGATGTTAATGAAATCACTGGCTTCTTTCAATCTGAGTGTCACGGTCTGGTTCACTCCCTCGAGAGCCGCCTCGCTTGGGTTTTTCACGTGGTACAACAGCGCATCCGATAACGCTATTGCACCACGTGAAAGACCCAAGCGAGGCGGCTCGCAAGGGAGTGAACCACGTCGACTGTGACACTCAGATTGAAAGCCCCTGTACTTCAGTAGCCGCTACGCTAATTTTCCGTTACCTATTTAACTATTTAGTCAAGGATACCCAACTCCTAAGTGCGCTTGTTCGGTTAACTGGAACTTATTGCTTTTCTGCATATGAAAAGGGAGAAGCGTGTTTGTAGCTTTCTCTTAGAATAGCAAATCTGATCTTTCCGTAATCCATACATGTAAGCGTCAACATCATTGTGTCAGTGATCTATACATATAAGAGTACGCATAAGGAATCATATCTTGCAAACTCCTATGTTCAAAAATTTAAAGCCAACGTAATCCCATTATGCTAGCTCATTATGTTACTTAATCGATAATAAGGAGGTCAGAGGGTATACAAGAACGCTTGCGTCGCCCACATTTCGATATCAACCTTTTCGTCAAATTTCGCTAGATTTTCAAGTATTAGCCGCAAACTCAGATTCGAGTAGCTTGTTTTCTGACTACCCTATTCTTTTGGGCTTATATAGCTGTGTTCGCAACTAGTCGAAACGAAAACGACCAATGCTAACTAATAAGAGTCATGATTGCTAGAAATTATACAACTCAGCCGACTTTAAGGACTGACACTGCAACAAATGTCCTGCACCACATGAATTTTACGTTTGCGTATTCTTCGCACTAAGAATCCGCTGATATATAATCGGTTATCAATCCATGAAAGTCATGTCAGAAGCGTTTGTGAAAACGCAAAGAATAGCTTGGTGAACAATCAACTTCAAGGACTGTCTGCTTGATTGGTATCACTTATGAAACCGTAAAGTATACCAATTAGTGATAGATTCAAAGACTACTGCATTTGACTACATTCCGGTGATTTGCAAAACTTTACACTCTTCAAATTTCAAGAACTAGTGAGCACCAGATATTCACTAAAATTCTCACTGTAGAACATAAGCATCATCGCTTTCGATATGAAAACTTGTTACACAGTCGTAAGGATTTGACCTGACTAGTGAAAGTGAGCTTACTTCCATTACTATGGAAAAATTTCTTTTGCAATCAAGAGATCTAACAGTAAGATATATAGCACAAGTGTGGCGCAAAGTCAATGACTGAATTGAGTAACTAGTCAACAACCTCTAAGTAACGAAGCAAGAAAATCCTCGAAAAATGATGTGTAGGGATAATCTTGGGCGAATGGCAGCCAAGCAGTGCCTTTATCAGCATTGTCCTGCAATTAAGCTGGCTTCTTTTACGTAATGGAGCAAAAATCCTCCACAGCACGTTTTGTCGAGAGAGTAATCTAACCCTAATGTCGCAATCATCTCAAGTGTACGCGTGCCGCGCGCGAACCGCCCGTGCAGGCAGCCCGTTAGGAATAGATGGCGCCCAGAGTAAAAGCAAGACATGTGAGCACAATGAAGCGAAAAAACATACTGAGCATAATGGAGCGAAAACCCAAACAAAAAAATTGATGAACTCACCTTACATTTCCTAAAGAGTCATGTGCTGCTTTCCACATCGCAAACAGAATCAATGCATTCAACTTCTGGAACTTTCCGAAACACACCGGAATCATCCAAATACAAAAAGCGAAGAGCCCAAGTAGGCATGCAGATTACGACAAATTTGTGCTGGCCAGACTCCTAGAAATCAGAAAAAAAACTATCAAGGAACTACCGCATGGCTATAAAACTACTGTTCTGTAAGTGAAATACATCGGAATATAAGCCACAGAAAACCTACCTCTACTAGATATCAATCCAGCCGTTTCTCGCAGTTCAGTTAATTCTTCAGCCATGTATCTACATTCGATTGTCGTCTGATTTTGTCGTGGTCGTTGAAACTGATATGACTGACAATATGCGACAAAGACATGTCCGACTGAAAGGATATTTCTAGACATTCCCAAACTAAACCTGAAAAAAAACACAAAGCCACAAAACCTTATTCACCACATTGAATGACTTTGATGCAATAGCTCCAAGAGATTGGGCTTAACACAGGCACAAAACTTAAACTTCTACTTTCACAAGGTTCAAAAAGAAAGATACCACTGATCTAACATGCAAAACGACATTAGGCAACACCCCAATGTCTTATCAAACAGAATCTAAACAGCTTATCTGAAACAAGAATGAAAATTCGTAGTAGAGCGGAATGCTGCAGAGGTACACGAGATTGGCGCTGGGGCGCCATATCTAACAAAGCCATTTCAGAATAAAATGAGGGCAATAAAAGATGGACAGGGGGCAATATGAAAATGTCTTTATGCTCGGACAGATTCTTGGCCGGGGAATCCATCCATGATAGAAATATCCAAAACTTATGTGAACTTACAGAAATATATGCTCCAGACGATCTCAGATCGTCTGGTGGCCGTCTGGAGGCGATCTAAATCTGGAAAAGGTATTCCTTCACATAAGTTTCCAAAACTTTTTACATATTTCTTCCTCAAATAATTTTCTATGCATACAGTTCAAATTTGGTGTCATATGGTTCTATGTGCGCTGTAAACAAGCAATTTGTTTATAGCCTTGCTTTCAAATCGCGCGCACTTTCCGCCATACACGATAGAGCATGTCAATCGTGTGAAAACCTGTCTGGAAAGCTTGTGTTCGACTAAATGACGCATATCATTGGTTTTCGGCCCCGACTCAGCAAAAACGATACCCCCCTTTGCTTTTTGCTCCAAAAACGAAGTCCAGCCTGCTTCCAGACGATCTGTGCCGGGCCCTGGTCTGGGTACTATACTACAGAACCTGTGCTTTGCAGCCTCTCACTCTTTGCCTGGCCTTAGTTACGAATTTTCAAACTACCATGCTCATGCACGTTTTTGACGCCGTTCTGGACGGCGCTCAAGCGGTTTTTTTTCGCGGGAAAACTGTGGAAGAGGTAGGAAGTAAGCTTCTTAGTCGTAAACATCTTTTGTAGTTCAAGAATGTCATTTTGTTCTCCTTGCAAAAATTTGTGTCGCCTACGGAAATTGAATTTGCTGGCCTGAAGTATACATGAAAATTCAAAAACAAAATTGTCACACATTATTAAAGGTGTTTATGTGTGCTACAGATGCTGGACGCACCCATTGGCCTAGAAATTCTGCTTCCGAAACCTCACTGAAGTTCTCACGCAGGTGTTTTTTGCGATTGACATTCGTTTATGCAGGTTACCGCGAGGAATATGGGCAGGGGAGGTAAGGGGGATAAATGGGGAAGAGTGGGGGGGGGGGTCGTACAGATGGGTACCTTCAAGGGGGGGGGGTCGTAAGTGAGGGTCCTGGATCGCATCAGCACGCTTGACCCTGGGTGGAAACCAACTTTTCAATCAAAAAATTGGAGTACCTCAGGGCGGTAATGCTAGCCCAATAATTGCAGATCTTACTCTCTCATATTTTGAGTATATCTTTGCCTGCAATATACAAAATCCAAATTTTCTATTTCAAGCATATCGATATATGGATGATATTCTAATCATTCATAATAAGACCCAAGATTTCATAAAAACAGCACTGGACAAAGTCTATAATAATGTTTTGAATTTAGAAACCACAAATCCTACAGAGGAATGCAATTTCCTAGATATACACATTTTAATTAGAAATGATGTTAGCTTTCTTTTGGTAAGCAATGTTCATGTTGATTAACAAGTGAATATTTTTAAAAGGAATGTCACAAAAATAATCAGTTTAGTTGTTTACATTGTATTGTTTGCTCGAAATCATAACATTTCATAGAAGTTTCATAGAAGCTTGAAGTTCATACTTCAGTCAATTCAAAATATTCTGAAGAGAAGTTTATAAAATTTTAGAGGGCTCAAACTACATACTGTTCCAGCCACAAATATTTTAATTATAAGTTTATCGAAATCACACTTCTTGCTTGTTGCTGCAATTTTTAGATTTTTTTTAGTGGAACGTTTTGGAAAATCAAATTCAATCAGTACTTTTTCTAGATAATGAGAAACTTCTTAAAAAAGAAACCAAGGTTCCTCTTGCAAATACCAAGCTAGAAGCAAATTTGATGGATCAATAGCAGGAGTGATTCAGTACACAATCATTTCCGCTACCATGGCACGTTGCTACTTCAAAACAAAGCAAGTGCAGCAACATAATCGGTAAGGGTAGGCAATAGGTAAACGTTAATTTTGAAATTCAATGTTTTTGTAATCAACATGAACAAATTCACCCCTGTGCCGATTTTTAGCCTCTTAGCTTAAAGTTGAAAAACATCCGCTTCGCGTCGGGACCCATAGTGCGAGCAAATCTCTCGCCGAGATAATGGCTACTGGCCTCTCCTCTCGTCGTCACTGAGCGCCATTATATTTCCACATTCCTTTTTCTGGAATCCTTCGCAAGCTGGATTCATTCATGGGGTTAAGGATAGGAGGGACGCAGAAAATTCTGTCGTAGCGCTCGAAAGGGTCCAATGTATATTATAGTAAGAATATATATATTTATATATATACAGGGTGTCCGTAAAGTATGTATGCACTGTTTGATCGTTAATATCGCCGTTCCCAGGGGTCTTTTGCCGAGCTTTAAGCACCATACTGTAGAGCTGGCTTCAGCTTAAATTTATTTACAGTATGGAGCGAATCGCGGGTCTCCTCTCATTACTGTAGGATTACGGTAGGAACTTCAAAGAGGGTTTTGAGCCATGAACGGCCATATTTTGCCTTAGAAAGGAAACAAAACAGCCTGAAAACTTTTACACTAGGCTAATCAGAGTTGCTGATTCTAATTGTGAAGTTCCCAACTTATTATGATGCTTCATTGAAGAGTTATGCCACGTAAGAGGTAGCGGCCATTTTTTCGATGTTCCTAAAAAGTGCGTTTACACCGTTTAGAAAGCTTCGCAATCTTGTGAATAGTTGAGTATTGAACTCAGCGTCCATAAAAACCCTATTACACAAGTTTTCACATTTTTTTGAAAAATTTTGAAACGACAGCTTTTTCCACATCGACACCATATGTTTCAAGTTTCTACCGTAATCCTACAGTAACAGTGAGTAATGCTGATTCGCTCTATACTTAAATCTAAGTTGAAGCCAGCTCTACAGTATGGTGCTTAAAACTCGGCAAAAGACCCCCTGGGAACGGAGATATTAACGATCAAACAGTGCATACATACTTTACGGACACCCTGTATATATATACATATATATTAGGTTGAACCGAAAGTTCTGTCGCACCATTTTCAAAAAATCATAACTTCTTTCCCTCAAAATGATTTTGCGCAATTCAAATTTATCAAAAACCGTAAAGCATGTTGTTTCCAAAAGTCTTCTGGGGACTTTCCAAGATGCTCAGATTGCAGAGATATAAATGAAAGAACGAGATCATCCGAAATTCGGAATTTTTAAGCAAAAATTCTAAAAATTCAGAAACGGTGCGATAAAATCCATAAAAGCCATTATCCTGATTTTTCTTACATTTAATTACTAAGTGAGTCAAGTTTGTGCTGATCGAGGTCTTCTTTCAGAAGTTATGAATTTTTGAAAAAAAATGCCAAAAAATCCATTTCTTAAGAACTCTTCGGAAATTGGTTTCTCGGCATAATTTTTCAAAAAATCGTAACTTTTGAAAGAAGGGTTCGATCAGCACAAACTTGACTCAGTTAGTAATCAAACGTAAGAAGAATTAGGATAATGGCTTTTCTGGATTTTATCGCACTGTTTCTGAATTTCTAGAATTCTTGCTTAAAAATTCCGAATTTCGGATGATCTCGTTCCTTCATTTTTATCTCTGCCACCTGAGCACATCGGAAACCCGCTAGAGAGCTTTTGGAAACTACATGCTTTACGCTTTCATACAAAATTTGAAATGCGCAAAATCGTCGTGACCGTAAGAAGTTATGATTTTTTGAAAATGGTGCGACAGAACTTTCGGTTCATAATATATGTATATGTATATACAGGGTGTCCCAAAAAAATGTTAACACTGTTTGATCGTTAATAACTCCCTTGCTTTCAAGTCTTTCGCCGAGCTTTAGGTACTATTTTGTAGAGCGAGGATAAACTTAGATTTACAGTATCGAGCGAATCATCCAACGCTCCTCATTACTGTAGAATTACGGTAGGAAATTCCACCATGTGGAACCGCCGTGAAATATGCCCTCTGACAAAATTTTATTCAAAAAATCTGAAAAATCGTGTACTAGGGTTTTCGCGCACGCTGATTTTACTACACAACTTTTTATGAGTGTTTTCAGCTTTTTTGACGGTGTAATCACATTTTCGACACATGCTGGGAAGTCGATTATTACACTTTGCCTAGGATAACTTTGAAAAGAAGTATCATAACAAAGTGGAATTTCATATCCAAAATCACCGGCTTTCATTACCCATAATACAAGAGATTTTGGCTTGTTTGGCTCTGTTTCGAAGCAGAAAATGGCATTTGACGGCCTAAAATCCTTGTCACATTGCCTAAGTAATTCTACAGTAACGAGGAGAGCTAGATGATTCGCTCGATACTGTAAATCTAAGTTTATCCTCGCTCTACAAAATGGTACCTAAAGCTCGGCGAAAGACTTAAAAGCAAGGGAGTTATTAACGATCAAACAGTGTTAACATTTTTTTGGGACACCCTGTATATTAGGTCGTTCCGAAAGTAATGTCGCTTTTTTCAAACGTATGCCACATCTCGTGGAATAAAGATGTGTAAGAGATTATGGTAGCGTTTAATGCAGCATTTCATTCTCTTTCTAATGGTTATGAAGTTGTTGCAATACAGACAATGAGTTTCCAGAAAAGAGACAAAATCTGCGACCTATGCTTTTTGAGATGGCCAAGTTTCACAATTTTTCTATGATTTTATAACAAACTTCAGAAGGAGCCCAAGTAATGGATGGATGGAGCAAACCATACAGGAAACAGACAACTTTTTTCTACTTTCCAGAGATCGTCATAATTTTTGTATATTTTTTGATGGAACCTCCAAATTTTAGCGGGATCGTCTCAGACACAAATCATCAAACATCAAAAAATCTTCGGATTTTGAAACTTACAAAGATGGATTATGGTTTGATAACAATTTTACAAACCAAACGAGCATTCACCGCTTCGGTTTAGCAACTTTCGAAAATTTCGGGTACAGCCTGGGACGCCATGGAAAACCTGAATTTTGATGATTCTATCCCGGAAAACTTGATGAATCGGGAACAAAAGCAACCGCTAGAAAGAGGAGAAAAAGCTGCATCGAATGACACTCGAGTCGCTTGCCAGTTGTTGTTCTGTGAGGTTTGACTTGACTAAATATGGAATTTGATGGCATTGAGAAATTGATTGTAGAAACTCTGAAAATCAAGCTAAGGAAAAGAAAAAATTACTCTGTGCTCTATAGTGTTTGCTCTATCTACCTACCACTTGTACTTTTTCGGAGATTATGTACAAAAATTTAGAAAAATATTTACCATGGCAAAAAGCATGAGTCGCAGATTTTGGTAATTTTTCGAGAGCTCATTGAACATTATGCAGTGAGATTAGAACTATTAGAAAGAGGATGAAATGCTGCATCGAATGCTTCTAAGATCTCTCATAAATGTTGATTCTACGAATAGTGGCGTTCATTCGAAAAAAGCGACATTACTTTCGGAACGACCTAATATATATATATATCATTGGCGTACCCAGGATTTCGGCTCGGGGGGGGGGGCGACAAAAATTTTTTTCTAATGAAGGTGCGTGGCGTAAGCCACGCACTCCGAAAAATTTTTTGGGATGTTCCCGAAATTTTTTCCGGGCCCCTGACCCCAAAATTAAAGAAAAAGTGGGCGTGGCGGTAGCCACGCCCCCGAAAAAAATTTTGTTACAAGGCAATTTGAATTTTTAAAAATTTTTAAAAATTATTTTAATTATTTACAAGTAAAAACAAGTCCTCTGCACATTTTTATAACACATTTAAGTAATTCAAAAATTTCGCGACCCCTTCTCGGGGGGGGGCGCCCAGTGGCGTACCCAGTGGCGTACCGAGTGGCCACTGATACATATATATATATAATATATATATATATCAGTGGCGTACCGAGGGGGGGGCGCCCCCCCCCCCGAGAATGGGTCGCGAAATTTTTGAAAGTTACTTATATGGGTTATAAAAATGTGTAAGTGACTTGTTTATTTTTGTAAATAATTGAAATAATTTTTAAAAATTCTTAAAAATTCAAATTAGCTTTGTAAAAAAATTTTTTTCGGGGGCGTGGCGTCAGCCACGCCCCCGAAAAAAATTTGGCGAAAATTGCCAAAAAAAATTTGGCTGACGCCACGCCCCCTTTTTGCAGATTTTAGGGGTCGAGGACCCGAAAAAATTTTGGGAAGCACCCCCAAAATTTTTTCGGAGTGCGTGGCTGCCGCCACGCACCTTCTTTGCAAGAAAAATTTTTGTCGCCCCCCCCCCCCCGAGCCGAAATCCTGGGTACGCCTATATATCTATATATACATATATATATATATTAGGTTGAACCGAAAGTTCTGTCGCACCATTTTCAAAAAATCATAACTTCTTGCGGTCACGACGATTCTGCGCGGTTCAAATTTTGTCTGAAAGCGTAAAGCATGTAGTTTCCAATGGTCCCCTGAGGGCCTTTCAGCATGTTCAGATTGCAGAGATAAAAATGAAAGAACGAGACCATCCGAAATTCGGAATTTTTAAGCAAGAATTCTAGAAATTCAGAAACAGTGCGATAAAATCCAGAAAAGCGATTATCCTAATTTTCCTTACATTTGATTACTATCTGAGTCAAGTTTGTGCTGATCGAGCCCTTCTTCTAGAAGTTATGAATTTTTGAAAAAAATGCCAAAAAATCCAATTCTTAAGAATTCTTAGGAAATTGATTTTTCGGTATTTTTTTTCAAAAATTCATAACTTCTGAAAGAAGGGCTCGATCAGCACAAACTTTACTCAGATAGTAATCAAATGTAAGGAAAATTAGGATATTCGCTTTTCTGGATTTTATCGCACTGTTTCCGAATTTCTAGAATTCTTGCTTAAAAATTCCGAATTTCGGATGGTCTCGTTCTCTCATTTTTATCTCTGCCACCTGAGCATGTCGGAAACTCCCCAGGAAGCTTTTGGAAACTACATAGTACTCTGCGTTGATACCACTGCTT